GTGTTAGAAGTATTGAGTGTATCGTCGGGTGATGATGTATTTTTGGTCCCAGAATCGGTCATCAAAGGTTGTCCAGAATAGGAAGATTGATGCGCATTAGAAATAGATATGCTATCTCTTCCGGTATATCCAGTGATGTCCGTAGAGACGCTCATAGCCTCATTTTGTACCCTCTCAACTGCCGCTGGCTGATAACGTCGGTTGGGGTCACTATTTCCAGTTTTGGGATTGGAGGCCTGATGTAATGGTGGCATTGGGTTCATTTGGACGTCGTGAGTGGGTTCGTCTAGAGTCACCAAGCCGATACTCTGGTTTTGGGTGCTTGCGATGCTGAGGCCGGGGTATATAGCACGCCTCTGGCTAGACGTGTAGGTGCGCATATTGCCGCCAGAACCGCTCCCATTCGCTCCCTTTTTCTTTCCTCCTCCGAACAGCTTTCCTCCAAACCTTCCCTCTAGGCCTTCCTGCTTGTTGTTTTTGCCGATATTTTGATAGCCAGTACTCGTACCGCCCACCGAGCTTCTGTCATTGGACGTGTTGAAGTCATACGATCGACCTTTGAAGCCGGATGCAGTGGATACTGAGCGGCTTCGTCCCATAGAGTCGGTTCGTCGAATGATGATGAAAAAGGTAATGAGAGCAACTGCAGCAAGAAACCCCAATCCTCCAATGATACCACCGACTAGTGCTGGAACACTTGAATAATGTAAGAAATTGCCCAAAAATGGATAAAACAAATTCAAATTCTCACCTAATCTTCTTGGACCCGGAACCGGTGGTGGTTACTTGGGCACCATTGCTCGTCTGGGCTGGTTGACCTGTTACTGTGCCTTTTTCATTGTGAGTATGAGAATATGTTAAATGTTCAGGTTTACGTACTGTGGGGCGCGTTGACCAAGCACTCATCTCCAAACTGCCCTGCGGCGGTAGTTTCCATCAATCCACTGGTTGCAATGTCTCCATTCTGGGCACGATACAAGAGTACAAAAGATGATCCAGTAGCAACATTCACGCTCCACAAGATGGTTGCATTTCCTGAGGTCGATGCAGGCATATCGAGGCTAAACGGGGAACCACCAGGGACAAACCCTCGAACTTCTATCGGCGAATTGACGAGGATGCTAAGAGGGCTGCATTGCGCTGGGCTGAAAGAGCCGATCGAAAAGAAGACGTTACTGTTGGCTGACGAATCCGGAAGGCAGGAAGCAGTTTGTGCCCCAGAAATTTCCACCCGTTGAATCAGAGATACTCCTCCGGTCCCATATCCTGCATTGATTAGCAATGTCAGAATGTAATCAGTTTGAGCAAGAGGCGTTAAAGCTTACCGAAGCCGTCATCCATGGCCACGATGAATCTCTCTCCTGCTCGTAGCGGAAGCTGATCAATGGTATGAGTCCCACTCCTACTGGCGGCATTCCAAACACTATCGGGTAAGTTTAATCGGATTGGTGGGCTCAGTCCAGATGGACCTCTCCCCGCCGAGGTATCAGAGGGTGCATCGGCATTATTGACGGGTACGATGAGAAGTGAAAACGGAGGTCCAATTGATTGCTCAGCTGTGGCGTTCCAATTGACGGTGAATGAGCCGCAGGACACCGCTGGTGTAAACGAGGTCGAGAAAGCGTCGACTAGTTGAAGCCTGGAGAGAAAGGATAGCCCGATTGTGAACAGTGATAAATCTGTCCTCCCAAGCAGAGCGAATCCAACGGCAGCACCTCCAGCTAATATCGACATGCTGTTTCGAGATAGAGTTTGTTAGCTGG